ATTTTATAACAACTAGGGTCGTCTGATATCAACAAAAAATTAACATTATTTGTCGACTGAAGTCGATATACAATAAACAACCTTATAGAGTAAACAACATCTATTGAGTACCCTAATTGTGTTTTATTATTATTTTATTTATTGTATAGAAAATGTTTATTTATTTTTGTGCTAAATGTTTTTAAAGACTCATATTCATTTTAGAAGGCAAAGATTGTGTCAACCAAACAGACGGTTGTCAACCAAATTATGGTGTGGTTGGAGGCCGGTGTGGAAATGGTTGCGGTATTTGTAAGCAGCTTTTAATGTAAACATATTAGTGACAGCTAGAAGTGAGAACTAATCCAAACAGCTGATCGTTATTTCATAAAATGTAATAGTAAACATTGGGAGAAAATTTGACAAAATTCGAACCAAATTGGGTTTTTGATGGTTCGTTATTTTGTTTTCAAAGAAGCGAGGCCATGTTTTTATAGCCAAAGACACTCTCATCAGTCCAGTAAATACGGAAAAATTATTAGAACCTTGATCGGAACTTTAGTTTTCTAGGATTAGGCCGCGCAAAATGACATTTTGGCACAGAATAGACAAACAGACAGACATAAATTGAGATAAGACTCGTTTCGGCTTTCAATAGAGTTCCCTATGGTGTGGCGTCAGCACCAGGTATTTTTCAAAAGATAATGGAAACCATTCTTGCGGGTATTCCAGGAGTAGTTTGTTTCCTGGATGATATTTTGATTACGGGTGAGAACAATGAGGTACATAAAGAGAGGTTAATTGAAGTGTGTAGTAAACTTAAAGGTAATGGTTTGACAGTAAGCAAGAAAAAGTGTGAGTTCTTTCGTAAATCGATTGAATATTTAGGGTATGTTTTGAGTGCGGAAGGTCTAAGCACCTCACCGTCTAAGATTGGTGCTATAGAGAAAGCTCCTTTACCAACTGACTTATCACAGCTAAAAGCATTTTTAGGCATGGTAAATTACTATGGCAAGTACGTACCTCACTTATCAACTATCGCAGCCCCTTTGTATAATTTGCTAAGAAAAGACAGTGTTTTTGAGTGGACAGCCACCTGTGATCAAGCATTTAAGCTAATCAAAAGTAAATTGGTGTCAGCACCAATATTAGCACATTACGATCCTAACTTACCTGTAAGCCTAGCTACTGATAGCTCTAGTTATGGTTTAGGGTGTCTACTAAGTCAGAGACAGAAAGACGGTTCAGAGAAACCGATTTGTACATTGTCAAAAGCTGAGGTAGGCTATAGTGTCATAGATAAGGAAGCACTAGGTATTGTGTATGGGGTTAAAAAATTTAACCAATATTTGTATGGTAGGAAATTCGTCTTAATTACAGACCATAAGCCTTTGTTGTCCATTTTCGGACCTAAGAAAGGGTTGCCTGCGTACGCAGCCAGCAGACTTCAGCGCTACGCGCTCTTCCTAACTAATTATGATTTTGACATAAAGTACGTGAGGTCAGAGGCGAATGCCAACGCCGACTGCCTATCTAGATTGCCCTTAAATATAAGAGATTTTCCTTTTGAGTCAGACGATGTAAATTATGTTGGTACGTATTTGCAATACATACAAGAAAATGACATTCCTGTTAATTTTAATAATGTAAGAGAAGAGACAAAAAGGGACGTTGTGTTAAACAAAGTTTTAGGTTATGTTTTATATGGCTGGCCAAACTACGCACCAAGTACTGACGAGAATCTAAAACCCTACTACTAGCGACAAAGTGAATTAGCTGTTGAGAACGGTATTATTGTGTGGGGGCATAGAATAGTGGTACCTCAAAATTTACGGAAGTTGCTTTTGTCAGAATTTCATTGTGGGCATCTCGGAATTGTTAAGATGAAAGCCATGGCCCGATCGTACTTTTGGTGGCCTGGTCTAGATGCGGATATAGAAAATCTAGCTAACAGCTGTTCACTCTGTCTGATGGTACGTCAGAGCCCAGCTAAGTGTAACTTACATGTGTGGGAACACCCCAAAAACGTATGGGAACGCCTACATGTTGATTTCTTGGGCCCTATTAATGGTAAATTGTATCTCATCATAGTAGACGCTCACAGTAAGTGGTTGGAAGTAGAAGAAGTGAGCTCTACGGCAGCCAAACAAACTATTGCTAAGCTCAGACCACTATTTGCGAGATTTGGTCTTCCCCACCAAATAGTTTCTGATAACAGACCACCGTTTACTTCTTTTGAATTTAAAGATTTTTTGAAATCTAATGGAATCACACACACATTGATACCACCATTTCACCCAGCTACAAATGGTCTAGCCGAAAACTCTGTCAAAAATGTCAAGAAAAGAATTAAGCTAGCTATTATGAGTAACAACAGTGTAGATTTATCTTTGTGTAAGTTTTTGTTAGCTTATAGAAATTCTGTGCACTTAACCACCAACGAAACCCCTGCAAAATTGATGTTTAATAGACCATTAAGGTGTAGGTTAGATTTGATCAGGCCAAACCTACCACAGTTTGTACATGACCGACAGAGTAAACAGATTCAGAATTATGGCGGAAGTAAGACCCGAGTGTTGTTTGAGGGTCAGCCAGTAATTGTTCGTGACTATAGGGGTAGAAGTAAGTGGATAGAAGGTGTAGTAGTTAGAAAATTAAGTGCAGTGTCTTATTTGGTTAGGTTGAAAAATGATGTGATATGGAAGCGTCATATTGACCAAATAATAGGGGTAAACAGTATACCACCCACTTTTAGTATTGACAGAGAAGCGTCTGTACCATTGTTGCCACCAGGTCTGTCAAGTGAGCAACGGCTAGTAGTAGTAGTGGAGGCATCAGCTGTTCCAGGCACACCGCCACAACAATCGCGTGGTCCAAAACAAAATACACCACACCGCGCGAGCGCTACTAGGCGGAAGTCTGCTGTCATAGCAGACATTCCTATTCCACCTAGTATAGTAACAGCTGATAGTCCAAAACAAACAGTAGTAGATCGACGTTACCCTATTCGGGAACGTAAACCAACCGAGAAACTTAACTTGTAAGATATGTACTAAACCAAATGTTCTGGATATTGTTTTGAGTTATGATGTATTTATGTATGCTGTGTTTATTCATTGTTTTTACAGATTTTATATTCCTTTATTTGTGTGTTACAATTGATTATTATTGTTATTATGGTATAAATTTTGGTTTGAGTTGAATTTCAGATATCATAACGGTTCAGTAGTATTTTATTGATTTTATATTATGTGTGTGATTATTGTTGTGTTCTTTTACAATGCGTGATGAGTATTTTGCTGATAATTATCGTGTTATATTTATGTTCTAATTCAAAACCGTTTTATCAATTTTATATATGATTTGATAGTCATCAAAGTTAAGGGGGAGGAAATGTAGTGTATTTCATATAGTACACCTTGCTGTGTATAACTATTGTCAATGTATGTATCATGATGGCAGTGTTTGAGTGAATAAACCTTTGCCGTGGTCCGATCATCACGCCACCCTCAACCGACCAATCACAACACAGCCTGACCACGCTCCTATTTTCCCGGCTTTTCCTCACAGCCTTCCAGCAGCTCCCGTTATGTAACCATCTCCGTGTTAGTCCCGCCCGTATCGGCCGCGGCAATTCATTACTGTAAAATGTGTATTTATTTACTTCCATTTTCATTCTTAAACTACGGACATTCCAATTTAGCGACGAGGATGCCTTAAAGAGCCATTCCAGATTAATCGACAATCAAATTATTTGCCAGGCCGAGAAAATCTCCCTTCTTCTCAGGCTTTGGCCAGTTTAATCCTCGTCCACACAAACTATGTGTTCAAACCCCTCCCCTAAATTATGCGTCTAAAATACTAACAGCACGACCCCTTACCACCCTGAGTGATAGGGAACATTGGGATTCACTATAACCTTTCCTCTCCCCTTCTTGGGTAAACTTTCATTCCTTTCCTTTCTTTGTTTTTGTTTTTTCTTTTTTAATTTTAAAAGCCTGTATGTATCCCCTTTTCTTCATATTTCTGTGGTACTTTCCTTTAGGTCACAATTGTTTCCTTGTCTCTTAACAAGTTATATTTTCTCATCTATAGACCTTTCCTATCCAAGACCTCTTCCTGTTCTTTCCTATTTGCTTCCTGAAGTGGACAATTCATCAAACCTGACTCGTGGTCACTATTTCTCTGCATCTGCATACTTCCTCTTCCACCAGGTTAAATCTCCGCAAATTCACCTTAAAATTTCCATGTCCTATGACAAACTGCGTTCAATAATGACCCACCTCCCAATCTTTTCCAGCCTCCTTTTGAAGTTCGATATATTTATATATCATATCCGAACGTTTACCTTTATTCTACACTCTGCTCCCAGCGCATTTGCATTTGTACCAGCTCTAATGTATCCCCTCTTGTTTTCCGATTCTTTTCCGATTTCCGACTGATTTCCGTTTATTTGGTTTTTTTGTGCAAATAAAAACTGGTTTAAAACAGTGAAACATCAATCTTTTCAACTAATCTAATAAATCCTTGTAGCACAACCATGTCTCCAATTTTAGTATAACCAGCTGTTTTAAAAATTAGTGTCAATTTCAAAGTGTTCAAATGTAAACAAACATTTTCTCCCTAAGAATAACATGGGAACTTTGAAGGCCACTGGGGCAGAGCCCTGATGGAATTCCAAAGTTTTTTGTTTGATGGCAAAACTACATGCTAAGACATTTCTAACGACACCTTAGACATGGTGATCGGTTGCACCACCGCTCCAAAACAATTATGACAAAAATATGCCTAGTGTATTAAATATATAGATTAAACATACAGTATGACTGTTTATGTATCAGTAAACAGTCTTTTGGCAAACTTATAGTGAAATATCTATTAAGGTATTTTATAAATTATTATTAAAACGTATGTACGGCAATCATCCCCCCCAAAAACCTTCAACATATCTTTAAAATCTCATCCAATGCTAGCTGGCTGGAATCTCTAAATACCCAACCACACTGTGTTTGTTTCCGTACCTGAGTAGTTTGATGGACAGCCTCATAAGTTAGAGTGCCAGATCGAGACACAATGCCAATCCTGCCCTTCTGGTGAATGTGGCCAGGCATAATTCCTATCTTGCACTGCAAATAACAGAAACAACAGGTAAATAATGTTTTTGCTTTAAGATGTCAAGGTAATTTCAGATGTAATTCTAGTTTAATAGAATCATGCTGTATACTTGTGGTAAAAAAAAACTTCAGACTACTGTTTCATAAATTTAACTTGCGTTCAGTTTAAGAAGCTTTTTCTGAAGAAGTCTTTTACCTTAAACTGAACCTATAAAGAGGTGCTAAAATAGGGATCACATCATTTGTCCGAGTTTTCAACTGTCCGAGTTTGTTAAAAATTACAAAATATTTGAAAATATTATAAAATATTTGAAAATATTATAAAATATTTGAAAAATCATTTGTCCGAGTTTTCAACTGTCCGAGTTTTGATAAATAACTAATAATAATTAGATAAATCAACTGTCCGAGTTTTCATTTGTCAGAGTTTTTAAATTATTTAAAAAATATCAAAATATCATTTGTTTGAGTTTTCAACTGTCCGAGTAGGGGCAACATCAAAATGTGACCCTGTGTGCCGAGACTAGCGTGTCTAAAGCACCTGTTCAGAAGACGATGTGAACCCCTTCTGTGAAGGAGTCAGGCATTGTGCGAGCCGCGAGAGCCCCTCACGTCGAATTAAGAAAAATTATTTTATTTTTATATAAGACTAATTTTAAATTATTAATTATAAAATTAAACTCTCATCACCTAACACAACCAACCAAACTTGCTGATAGTATAAAATACCCCCGCCATTATTATATTATCAGCAAGTTTGGTTGGTTGTGTTTGGTGATGAGAGTTTAATTTTATAATTAAAAATTGTAAAATTAGTCTTATAATAAAAATAATATAATTTTTCTTAAGTCGACGTGAGGGGCTCTCGCACAATGCCGTACTCCTTCACAGAAGGGGTTCACATCGACTTCTGAACAGGCGCTTTAGACACGCTAGTCTCGGCGCGCATTGTCACATTTTGATGTTGCCCCTACTCGGACAGTTGAAAACTCGGACAAATGATATTTTGATATTTTTTTAAATAATTTAAAAACTCGGACAGTTGATTTAACGAAATATTATTATTATTTAAACCATACTCGGACAGTTGAAAACTCGGACAAATGATTTTTCAAATGTTTTGTAATTTTTAACAAACTCGGACAGTTGAAAACTCGGACAAATGAACCTCACCCCTAAAATAAATCTTTCTTAGAGTAAAATGTTAGCCCACAGGTAAAAACTTAAATGTAAAAAATATCTCTTAAAATAATTAAAAGAAACTAGGGTACCTGTTGCTCGAATTCGAGCAAGTGCTCAGGCGTTATTTTTAAACGAATAAATTCATAATTTCTGATACTTTAAAAGAATCGACTCAAAGATTATGGAAATACTCAATGTGTACATAACAGATCGATATAATCAACATTTCTTGTAAATAAAGGGTGATTTTTTTATTGGTGCGGTTTTTAAAACTAAATAAAAAAATGAAAAACAACCTGCATTGACATAAAAATGCATTTATTTGAACTACAGTGTCATGACATTAACGTATAAAAATGATTTCTGGCATATGGGCTCCATTCCGTTCGCGTAGAAAGCCCAATCGAGAAGTCCAATTTTCGAATACTCTTTCCAAGCAGCTGTGAATTCTGCCAATAACTCGACGAATGTTAGCTTCCAAGCCATTTAAAGTTTGTGGCTTGTCAGTGTATACTTGAGACTTCACATATCCCCACAGAAAGAAGTCTGTTGGCGTGATATCACACGACCATAGGGGCCAGTTGACACTACCTCTAAATGAGATGATACGTTCACCAAATGTTTCTGCCAAGAGGCCAATTGTGTCGTTTGCCGTGTGGCACGTCGCGCCGTCTTGTTGGAACCAGACATTTTCTAAATCCACTTCAAGTTCGTTTAGCTGAGGAACGAAAAAGTCCCATAACATTGCCCGATAGCGTTGAAGCAAAATCGGCTCTTTCAATGATTACTAAGAAATCCAGCACAGTGTTAATTCAGTTTTCTTTTTAGTATATCAAATTATCCAGGCTCTCTCGCTTTTTTCATTTAAATATTTACACCACCCCAAATTCAAATAGTAAATATTTCATTTCAACCAAAGTCAGTAAATGTTTGTAGCAAACTGTTAAATTAGTAAACTTTTTGACTGTTTACAATTACAATCAACATGTGTTCTTCTTCTCACTTTTAATTTCTGACAACAGGTGCAGTTTCATAACAATTTTTGTTTCCCATGTTAATCTTATGAAGAAATACGAAGCTTTAAAGAGCCCCAGGGCCTCACTCTCTAATTATTTCCCTAAAAAGAAAGTTTCCTGCACAACTTCACGTTACGCTCTTTCCAATGGCACCAAAAACATGTCAATCGGTTCAGTAGATTCGGAGGAGTAATTGTCACAAAAAACCTGCTTGCGTATTAAATAAGTATAGATTGAAATTAAAGGATTTTAACATGGATGAACTTATTCACCCAAGAATGCAGGACACCTGAGAATGCAGAAAACATGCTGAAATTTGTACCTGACTCTCACTTTAAGGAAAATGGAATGCGGACAGTTTCTCACAAACGGAATAACAAAAACTGTAAGAAACTAGTTTTTACAAAAACTGTAACTGAAAAACTAGTTCATGACTTTACAAAAGGAAATTTAAATAATCTTGATTCCCCCGAAAACCCAACAACCATAGAGATATGCAAAAATATACAAAAGTCCCAGAAAACACATCTAAACCCAATGATACCTAAAAAATTGATGATAAATTGGCTAACTATATTAACCACTCAGAAACACATAAAAGCCAAAAAATTATCTTAGTCGGAGACTCAATAATATCAGAAGCTGCAAACATGCTCCGGCAAAAAGAACTACAATCCCATGTAATGCCCGGTGGAAATATAAGAGACCTGAGCAGATACCTAAACAGCCTAGATGCACTCCTCCCCGAAATTGTCTACATCCACATAGGAACAAACAACCTACCGGATGCAAAAAACGCAAACCACATCATGCGGCCCTTGTGGCTTACCATTGAAGCAAATAAAAAAAGATCCCCAACTACCATTTGGATAGTGGATGGAATACTCTACAGAGAAGACTTTCATTCCAACACAATCTCAGAAGTAAACTACTCATTTAAATTTAAGTGTGAACAACTGAATATTGGATATGCTAACCCTAACAAACGACTGAACTCAAACTCTTACACGCTTAAGGATTCCTCCAGGCCCAAAATCCTCAAATCCTCAAGGCCTCCAAACACACCATCAATTTTTTGAAAGATCCACCAAACATTGCTTTTAGACAACCACCCAATCTCCGAAAAATACTAGTCCACCCAAAAGTTCCTGACCCAGCCAACAACAACCCAAACAACGCACGCCCTAACGGTTCATATCATTGTGATAACAAGAGATGTAAAACATGTGAAATAAATCAACCCAGCCAAACATTTTCCAGTTCCACAACCAAAGAAAACTACAACATCCGAGGCTTCAACACTTGTGAAACAAAGAACATTATCTATCAACTACAATGTAACAAATGTGAGGCACAGTATGTAGGCCTATCCACCAATAGCCTCAGAACCAGGATGAATGGCCATAGACAAGATGTATCTACTGGATACAAAGACAAACCAGTTGTACAACATGCCCAGAGCCACAACAACCCTAGTTTCAATGACTGCTTTACAACCAAAATAGTCAAATCACTGCCTCCTCAATGTAACCAGTCACAACTGAGAAGATGGGAATTGTCTTACCAATGGTTTACTAAGTCTAGACAACCCCCAAACCTGAACCTAAGATAAAATATCTTTCATCTAACCCACTCCACTTCAACATCCAACCCAACTAGCAGGCTTACATATTTATTCATATATATATATAGTGCATATAAGATAAACTGAAACTGTGTTTTTTTGAATTCATACTATTGGCAACACTGACTCAACAACTCACTGGCCACCATTTTTGACATCTAGAAAACTCTCTCTTCCTTAGTTGAAAATGCTGTCAGTGACAGTGAAATATTCCAATGTTTTTGTGTATATTAGGGGTCTGCGGTACAGAAAATTTATGGTCGGTACGGTTCGGTACGGTACAATATTTTGTACCTCGGTTCTCGGTACAAAATCGGCACGGTACGCGGCTACCCGTATTTTTGCGGTTTTCTTCTCAGAACTGTATTTAAACCATTATTTTTAACTTTAATACATTGACACTACTATGAAAATGGATAGTATCCTACATTCATGGTTTTATAACAACAATTACTGTACCACACATTATTAAAACAAAACCTTTTACTACTACGAGGATTGTGTCAAGAAAAATCACAGTTAAGATAAAGGCTTTACCTATTTTACTCTGAGATACTTAGAAAAGCCATGATAAAGTGGTTTAAAAATAGGATAAGAGTTTTTATGAATAAACATGTTTGAAACATTTATCGACAAGATAATTTCACAAAACTGGTAATTTTTTTCCAACCAACACAATGTCTAGTTGTTTTAAAAAATTTTAAAAACATAAAAGCATTCAGTACGAAGACAGTGTAGTTTTGCCAGCTGTTCACAGCAGACGAAAATGAAATAACTGGAGGTTATGATGAAGTAATGGCAAAGAGCATCTTTTTTTATCAGCTTCAAAACTAGTTATCAACTCTTGCAAAATTTTTTTCTGAAACTAAAATAAGGATTATGACAGAGTAAAGCCGCGTTTACACCGCAGTGTAAACGCGGCTTTAGATTATTGTCTTTTCATTTACAAATTTAACATCCACAATATCAATCATATCAATCATTAGTTTATCTCAGGCTCAATCCAATTTTCTTAGTATATTTTAAAGCTCTTCCAAAGAATCAAAAGACCCAGGCCTAGACCTAATTATTTAGGAGGGCCTATATATAAATTGATTAGGTTACAATGAGGGTAGCAAAATCACTATCTAGTTCATAAGATTTAGATTGCATAGGCCTAAAGTACCTTCAACAACACAATAAAAAATACA